GAAGAAGAACTGTCTGAGAGATTGAAGAATGGCTCAAATAGTGAAGCCTTGCACAACTAATCTCCGAAATCATGAGAATGTGGAGATTTCAGCTATTCTCTCTCAAGGAATAGATTCACTTTCTCGGTCATACTACCTTGAAGTTCCAGCTGATTTGCTTTGTCTGTATTATAACATGGGTGACAAACTGCAAGAAAATGTTATTTAAAATCAGACTCAGTGAGAAAGAAATCGCACTCGAAGGCTTCCTCAATAACCGACAATTGTGGCAAATGGTACAAGATTTCAACCACGTAAGTTCCTTTGAAATGATTGATTACATTGGCCTTCACTCTCTTTCTTACTTGAAAGACCTTTCTGGCAAAATGTATTATTATCCGTCGATATAACATTTTGTGCTTAGTGTGGTTGATGTAGGCAACAGGGTCAACTATACGAATCAGCCAAATTAATATTGTTGCCAGTCAATCCACAAGATGCCTCCAGTACAATTTGTGACGAAATGAGTCTAACCAACGTCCACATTATCAGGTAAATTGTAGACATAGTGAGGTCAGAGTTCACAGCCAACAGACAATGTGAGTGGGTACGCATGAGTGCTGGAGACGGAAGAGTGGTTTGATCTTTCTCAAGTGCAAACCCACGAGATTCTCTTGGCCACCACTGGTGGAGCGTTGGAATACTAAGTTTGCGTCGACTCAAAGATGAGACGATTTCGAAAGTTTGTGTAATGAGAGGTTCGCATAACAAAAGTATCTTCTTTTTCTATTCAGTTGACTCCATTTCCAAATCAAATTCTCATTCTCTCGTATTCTCATTATCAGCCTAGCATCGATGTCTTTTCTCTTAGTTATGCATATATTCGAAATTGCAGAGCGATCAAGAGATCACTTAACGGTGCCACATTACACAAAAGGATTAAATTTTAATGATTTTTGCTTGCGATGCCATTCAAATGAATGAATTTTAAGGGAGTGCAATTTTGATGCATTTCAATTCTTGTTAATATGATGAAATAGTAATGACCATTTGAACAAAGTTCTCATACCGGATTAATTTTAACAAATCAGTTAAATGGGTGAACCGATATTTCCTCCGTATCCGTATTTGCATGATCTTGAGGCTGAAGAAAGGTAATTTGCCTGGAAATTTGTAAATTACATTCATTTAGGTGTCAGAGGTTCATCCGCGAATTCAAAGAGATTCACAACAGTATTCACGATTTTGAATTCGATTGTCATCAAGCCTTTCAATTCGTTACGACTGTGACCGAAAGTCTGGACATCAGGGCACAGGTGCGAGCTTTTCTTTTGGAGTACAAGAAGGAAATTACTCTCCTGGCACCATTTACTTACTTAGTTCACTGTGCTTTGCAAATTTTGCCACATATTCAACCATTTGAATCAGACCCCGTACCCTCGAGAATTTTATATAATTACTACAATGAAAGGTAATGACCAAACTAATATTTGCTTTAATAGAATTCACGTTAGAGGAAGGAAAATGCGATTGGCTCTGGAGAAACTAGCACCGACGTTTTCAAAATTTCGTTGTGATTCCAAAGATTTTGAGACAATTGCATGTAGTACACAAGCATGCCCTCACCCTAAAACCCGCCTGATTGGTTTAATGCGAAGTGGAATTTCTTGGTTTTTCTTTGTCAGGAGTTTGAAACCCAGAGCAGAAAATGCCTTGGCATTATATTTCGCAAACAGGCCTAATATTCCGAAAGAAGTGTCTTTTGTCAGTGTTGGCACAGAAACAAGTGATCTACCTGACATAGATGTTTCATTTGGATAACCCTGATGATAGTGAATTAAATTTCTAATATTGAATCGTTGCTTTGTTGGAAATAAATTTGGAACTCTATGAGATAAAAATGTTTTGCCTTAACGTTTATGGAAGGTGCTGAAATATCCTGTAACATAGAGGTTAGTTTGGGGGCTCAACTGTTATTTGATGGAACTAGTTGTTTGGATAAAAAATAACCCAACTGACTTTGAGTTTGTCTGATCAGTACACATTGTGGAGTAATTAAATTATCGTCGAAGGCTATTAACCAGTAGGTTTATTTTAATACATAAATCAGAATGTAGATTATCGTCAACCATATGAATGGAAAAGGCTAATAGGAATAAATGAATGTTGTCTGCTAACATCAAGTTGGTTGTAACAGAGAGAGGGACAATAAGTTTGACACAAAGCTGACATGGAAAAGTCACATTGCTAAAATAGCAGAACGAGTCTCTAATAGTCTGAATGTACTGAAGCGTCTTGCTGGTAGCGTATGGGGCTTTGCACGCTTAACTCTTAACACCACTTTCAATTTGTTTATTCAGCCAATAATGTTGTATTGCCGTGAGCCACTCATTACAGCCACAGAGGTGACTCTCAAACCCCTCGAGAAGGCACACAACCAAGCATTACGACTAATCACTGGAGGGATAAAGTCAACACCCATTAATGCAGTGCTCCAGGTTACAGGAAGCACCACAATATGTTCCCTTATTAAAGAAAAGGCCTTGATCCTGTATGAGAAGCTACTGCGCATTGCCATGGGCAAGTTCTTCAGCACCTATGAGAATAGACCATGACCTCTGAAAACGCAATCTGGTCTAATACAGAAAGCCATATANTTGCTGGTAGCGTATGGGGCTTTGCACGCTTAACTCTTAACACCACTTTCAATTTGTTTATTCAGCCAATAATGTTGTATTGCCGTGAGCCACTCATTACAGCCACAGAGGTGACTCTCAAACCCCTCGAGAAGGCACACAACCAAGCATTACGACTAATCACTGGAGGGATAAAGTCAACACCCATTAATGCAGTGCTCCAGGTTACAGGAAGCACCACAATATGTTCCCTTATTAAAGAAAAGGCCTTGATCCTGTATGAGAAGCTACTGCGCATTGCCATGGGCAAGTTCTTCAGCACCTATGAGAATAGACCATGACCTCTGAAAACGCAATCTGGTCTAATACAGAAAGCCATATAACTGAAGAAAGAATTCCAAATCGATGACAAACCAAAACGCCTCTCTCCCCATGAACCCATTAGCAGACACTGATGTAGTGTGTTGCATCCAACTGCTTGACTTCTTCAATCAATGTCAACTTTTCTGTAGATCAATAGTTCCAAGTCTTCACTGATGCGTCTTACATAAAAAATCAAGCAAAAGTTGGTGCCGGTGTCCACTCTGAATTCTTCTCTTTCTACGCAGCAGCGGGACATAATGGATCCGCTTTGGACAGCGGGACATAATGGATCCGCTTTTGAAGGAGAAATAGATGCCATTGGGATATCACTACACCAATAATATTGCCTGGATACTAAGTTCACCAAAGCGGTGTTACTTTCGGACTCAAAGTCAGCAATAAACTTAATTGGAAACAGAGAGCCACCCAAAACAGCTGAGACACATGAATGTAAAAATATCTATCAGCTGCTGAGAGAGAAAAACAGAACAGTGGAAAACGCTATCAGCTGCTGAGAGAGAAAAACAGAACAGTGGTCCTACAATGAATTCTTGGTCACTGTGGCATTAAAGGCAATGAGCTTGCTGACATAATTGTAAAGAAGAGGACAACAATTTTGCTAGGCATAGACCAGCCGATGTCTTACCACATAATAAAGACCTTAATCGGGGGAGAATTCAAGACCTCAAGGTGCAACGAACTTAAAACTCGAACAAAGGGTAAACAGTGGACAGTGGTACTCTCCGACATAACCGATTGGCCGAGAATCGAAGCCACTGCTGAATTTAGACTACGTACCGGACACGATTGCCTGGCAAAAGACCATCACAGATTGGGAGTATACACTCAACCAACATGCCCCTATGCAACCCACAGGGGGAAATGGAGAAGACCCACCTGATTCGATCTCCATCCCTAAAGACAAGGACGGAAAGCCAGAGATACTGGGAAGCAAGAAGTCAACTATTAAACTGTTATCAATTAGCTGCTATATATGTTCCCCCAACCCATGGGGAAGCTGAAGTCAAAGATTAAGGGCTAATGATAAAAATCACAAAGCCTGCCATTCGATATATATATATATATATGCTTTGCTATTATAGAACAGATGAATTCATCCGCTCTCTTAAGAAAACCGACAAAAGTTTACGCGATTTCGAATTTGACTGTCATCAGGCTGCTCAACTATTCTTCCATGAAACCAGTGAAACGCGCTTCCAAATTCGTGGTTTCCTCCTTGACTACGAAAATGACATCAAGTTGCTAGCACCTTACAGTCCTTTCGTAGCTAGTGCTCTTCAGATCTTGCCATTGATACATGCCGAAATGGCGCCCACAATGCACTCCGCAGGTATATACGACCACTACAATGAAAGGTGAGAGCGTACTTCTCGTTCTGAATGCATGCCACTTTTAGAGGAAAGAAGATGCGGCGGACTGTGCAGAACCTTCCAAAGGAGTATAATGATTTCAAGGTTTCGATTGAGAATCTTTCGACTGCGCTTTTCCATAATCCAAATATTTGCGATCCTGAGACAATTTTAAATCTTTATAAAAAATGTTATGCCAATTGCTTCCTATTCGTTCAAGAAAATTCTTCGAAAGTTGAGGATGCAGTGAAGATCTTCTTTCAATTTCGCCGTAAAATACGTCGTCACCTAGATAGACCTGATGATGACGTCGTTTCAGATAATTACATCTGTTCGGATTATTCTGACGAAACTTTCAGTTCTCTAAGTCAACTCTCCGACTTCGAAGAACCTTTTTAACAATTTTTTGTCAAAATTTATGCCATTAATTTGTATTAAAACCAGTGAAACATTATACTCCGTGAGTATTTTATACGGGGAGCCACATAAAGCCCCTCACTCGAATACCGTTCTTATTCTATGCTTTCGGTGGCATAGAAATTGAAGATTTTACAATTCAACGTGAAGTCCACGATTCCACAATTTCCGACTGGGATCTTGGAGAACACTAGATAACCTGGATTTGTAGCTTTTCAAGTGGTGCTATGCAAATCGATCAATTATAATGAAAACTGTGTTTTTGCCAGACGCTTAAAATGAGCGAAAGAGGGGAGGGAGTGGGGAGGGAGGGCGGGCGGGGACATTATTGAATGCGGATAATGCGCTCTGAGTCCTGGAATCGTGACCTTTGATCTGGTAGACGTGGTAGATGTGATTGCTGAACACATACTTGAGTGACCAATAGCCTCAGATAAGACCTGTTAGTAAATTGAAGCCGGAAAGCGTGAAATTTCTCACAATGTGCATGGAACCCGTGACGCCTTCCATGACCATCATGCAAACCGATGCACCGTGCACTAATAGTATGTCATATATACTATTAGTGCATACCTGAAGCAAATAATGAACAATGATTATAGTAAGGACCATTTTACCTCGCCAAGTTGCTTTAAATATTTCGGTCAAATTGAATTCGACGTACCTTTTGCCTATTCAAACTTTTATCCATAGCGATGTTATCAGCACTTCAACTTCGTTAGCGCTAATTGAACATGGAACGTGGCAAAGATGTGACTTCTCTCTGAATGCTTCTCATACAAACACATTTGAAGTGCATGATAATTGGACAATAGTTAAATTTGAATATCTGCTTAACTTGAGTGTATTGCCCACACTCAATGCAATAAAATAGATTGAGAAAATAGGAAGAGAAGACACACCCATTTTGACACAAAGATTATGATTGGATTAAGTGGCCTATAATGACCTTCAAGCTCACTAGTTGTCCACTTAAATTCAAACGATTTAGAAACTGCTAACTGCTTTGTGCTTGCCCCACAAACATATCTCCCGAATTCCACGCCAATTCAATCAATTATATAAACTTTATGTCTAATTTTGCATTCAACTTTTGGCCTTACAGCCCCCATCATCTACTTTTAAAGATCGCACACGGGTTTGCTTGAGGTCATTTTTGTTGGCAAACAATAGCCTTCTAATTTGCTACATTTGTCGAATATTCCCTAATGCACCCTATTTGAGACACTAAGTCCAAATTAATGATCTTTCATAGAGGTCAAACTTCGGTTTTTAATGAAAATATTAAATTGATGCCTTAAACTGATATGAGTTGACGCCTGACCCTAAGATGGCACAAATGAACCAAATTGAAGTGTTTGGTTAACAGCGCTAATCAACAAGATCTGAATTCCGCGAGCATAAAGTACGCTCAAAAATTTAGGAATGAGATCACGAGAAATGACATGTACCCTCTACGAAAAAGTTGTGAAATCAATGCTTGCAGAGTTTAGAATAAGCAGCATTCATGATGTGTTGCCATGTTTCTAAACCCTTTCATCAGCCCTCGTTTCAGCTCTCCTCGAGGTATACTGTTCGACTGTGCTATTCCACCATTACATTTCACGTCAACACTTAAAAATGCAGGAATAATGGAAAGTAGGTGTTTGATCTGAAATTTTGAATGGGAAGAGTGAAGATTCGTCTCGTTCCAATTTCTCGACTGGATTGGAGCTGCTATATAGGCACAAAACGCATGGAAAGTAGCGTAATTTGCATTTCCCTTGAAGTGCCTCTATATCTTCCACTTTCTCACTTTTCTGATGAGACTGTTGAATTTTTACTGGACCCCCGATCTCATATATATGCTTAATAAGAAAAAAAATTAGGTATTTACTAAGCGTGTTTTTAAAAACTACTATTAACTTCTCCCTGAAGCCTAGTGGAATGCGGTTGAATTAATTTTTCATGCTCCGTTGAAGGTTCCTTGATTCTCAACGATATAACCGCATCTTCCTAGACTCTATAGGCGGAAACGAGCATGCTGTGTCACTCTGAGTAATTTTTGGGAAACTTTGATTATTGAAAATGCCGAGTACGGTTTTAATGGCCAAACTTGTCTCTTTTAATTTCAGTTTTCTAATCGGTTGCATCGCCATTTAAAATTTTCTTTTTTCCAAAAAAATTTCACTGCTTTGTCATACGCAACCCTTCCCCCTCCCCTCCATTACAAAAGAGACAATGCTATACAAGTGTCAATTTTATAATTTACATACATATACATTTAAGCAAACACAAACTACTTCTTTTTACACAGTTTTTTCGATACTTCGCGGGTTCTTTGATTCAGCTGTAAGTCAACCGCACTCAATTCGCTCCAAAGTAATTTATATGGCTGCGTAGATAGTGAATTTGACACTTCATTGTTCCCTGCAGAAATCGCTCCATTTGCTTCGTCCTGTTGTTTGGCATGCTTACTTCGTTTTCGGTTTCTCCTTTTATGCTGTCCTGAAGTGTTTTGAATTTGTTCGCAAGAATTTTCCGCATTCACGTCCATGGGTTGCGCAGGTAAGGTCTCAGAATGATCTCCATTCTCCATGCCAATCGGGAACTTAAGTTCCTCCAGTTGTTGAGTCTTTTTGTTCTCTTTTTGGCGATTTCTCTTACGGCGTTTGGTGGCAGCCTGATCCAACTCAGGTGCGTCGTCCTGACCCAGCTCAGATGATTTACCAGATGCAGAGATCGATTGGTCGTTGATCGACGCAATAACCGATGCACTTGACTGCACTTGCTATGCCCACTTATAATTTGGATTCTTAGAACCGATGAGGAAGCATATCTGCCTTGTTGGTGGTCCTTTCGTCGGGAAGACAATTACATGTAGTTGAGTTATTATTTATACGCTGGAATTCGCTAAATATCAAGTTAGGATACCCCCTTTCTTCATCCACTATCCCAAATGCTCGCAACCGAAGTAGAACGCCCCCCAGAGGAAGACGAGAGAAGATTGTTGACCCGGTGACAGTCAATCTTCGTCTTCATTCTATATATAGATAATAACGCCTCTCAATGTTTATCTTATATGCTTTACAGCGCAATGTCAATGGTTAAGAGAGGAAGTGACATTTGATTCCCAACCTACGAAGAGCCTAGAATAGTAAAGCGAGAGCACAACGAGATTTCGAGGTTGGGTTCCAACTCTCCCTCCTATACAGGTCTCATCTTAATTAAACTTCATTTCTACCTGCCTGTGAAAATAGGTCTTCTCTTTTTACTATTACTGTGTCCCCCCNCCCCCCCCCCCCCCCCCCCCCCGACTACCGTTTTGAATCAACCCTGAAGATTGAAAATTGGATGAGTGCAAATGTTGGGGACATCTAAAGCACTCATTTGTCCCCTGTGGAAGTTGGAGGAGGTGGAGGTGGGTGAGGAAGAAGTAGTAAAAGAAGAAGGAGAACTTTTAGCTCAGGCAACATGTTTCATTTGAAGGAAATGAATTCACCAACGAATGTGTTGGATTCATAATAACTGGTAGTCTTTCTGGTTAGCCAATATGAGTTCCAATGCATTCATCAATGATTCTCTCATGTGTCGAGTTGTGAGTGTCGAAATTCAATAATCGATAATCCAATACGCGTGGGGTGAAGTTGGTGAGTTTCCTTCAAGTGCAGCCAAGATACCTTGTTGGGTTTCTTAACAAGCATGATTGCAACACTACTGTGCACGCATTGCACTAGTCCCTTCGATAGAATCGAAGTTGTATGTGCAGCTGGAAGGATTGCAGAGTTGGTGACACCACCTGCCTCCTGTAAATCAAGAGATATCTTCTAGTCCAGCTTCAGACAGTATTTTGGTAATTATTAAACATTTCATTAGATTAAGAGATATCGAAATACTCGCATATGGTTTTCTCTTTGGTATTTGAATCTATTAAAGGCTGCCGTTTAGCTCGTTCATACTGCCATAGAGTGACTTCAAATTGATGTGACCACACTTTTTTGGAACACGACGCCATTGACGATTGGCTTACACTAAGATGTTCAACCATTTTTAGGCTGATATGCTGTCTTACATATGTGTTATATATATATTAAAATAATTTGTCATTGGCTCAATGTCACATAATTTTGAATGAATCATTAAAAATCTTTGATCATTGAAAACACAAAATATTTAATTAATACGTAAACTTCAATAGATATATGTGCTGTGGTTATTCTACAAATGGTTGACCTAATAACCCATTTATATAACAGATTATCTTCAACAAAATTTTCAAGTTTGCACTCCTACTTAAAGTGAACTAATTGATTTCGAATAACCGACTTCAATTTTCCAATCAGGTTGAAGAAATTGAAAAGTGGGGTCTGAGAGAGTGAGAGGGTGAGAGAGAGAGAGAGCAGTCAAGTGCCATTAAGATAGGTTCAACTAATGAAGTTAGCCATTTTGCCCAATTTGGTGTCTATCAGATATAAACGACTCAATAGTCTCTAACTCAACGGCTGTTAACATTAAGTTCTGGAACAACAGCCGACAAGTTGACTTTAACTTGTAAGGAAGTTTGGGGCAGAAATTTTGTATTCGACAATTCTAAGGAGTAAGCTCTACACGCTTAAACCAATGATTTATGTCTCCCGAAACCTCCCATACAAGGGTTCAATCTGAAAATATTCAAAGGCACTTAACTGGTCCTCAGATGTTAAATACGTTAACTTGACAAGAAATATGCTTTAACAATTAGTTACAGCAAAGAAGAGAACGAATAAAGTGGGAGTGGAGTTGTTACGAAGGGGCTTGCACTTAGAAGTACTTTATTAACTAAAGCTTGTCGAGGTGGGTCATATAAGGGCGGAGGACACCACAAACTAGAAATTGATAAATTGAATTGAAATCAAACAATCTACACCACCTCCTACTTGTGCAACATTTATTAACTTTTATCAAATGGCAGGCTATATGATGGTTGGCTCATCTCTTTACTTGACTTCTGGTTTCACAGAGGGGAGGAGCACTAAAGTCACCAAAAGGTCGAGTATATTGAATTGAAGGGTACCCGTTTTTACCCAAACTTAAATAAGCAGTTGTCAGCTACTTGCTTAATCAATCAAAACTACACAGTAAACAACCTGAAAATCACTAAAACAAACCACAAATAAACAGACTGTTTCATCGTTACCTACTCTCACCTCCTAGGATACATCAACCGCAGCCATCTCTCCTTATCCCCCCCCTTCCTCCCTCTTATCTTGAAGTAGCCCAACTCGTTGTGTCACTGAACTTCAGCTACTCATATTACACTCACATTCACCACTCCGAGTTGTGATGCAAATCATTTTATCTGTTTACTTAATGTATTTGTGGATTTTTAATTTCCCTGAAGAGATCGGGAATGAAGTTGAGTAAATCACTACTCAAATTACAAATGAGTCCTCACCAACCCCCCCCCCCGCCACCTCCTTCCTTTCAGTTAGAACGTACTCTGCTGTACTCTTTTAAATTGAATACTTACTTCTATGAACTTTCAAAATTAATTCTGCTAAATACCGTTGCTTTGATGTTGTGAAAAAAAACAAATTGACACTTCGAGAAACTTTTCGCTAATTTGTGTTGCAACTAGATAGTATTGATTAATGGTGACACTGCTTTAATCGATTATCTGAAATTCTGATCGAGTATTTAGGCAAACGAGAACAAATATCGTCTCTCGGTCCGTGAATTACCTATCCACTTAATTGCACAATTGCACCAGGGCACGAGACATCCTTGTTCATGTAGTTACGCTCAATTAGGCAACTAGAAAATTCCATTTTATCCATAAGCTTTCAACTTCCAGATTTCTGAAATGCTGAAGCCTAGTACTGGACATCAACATAGTCTCGCTCAATGACCAATTAGATGCACAAGTGCTAATTTATATACCACCTTCTTCCTCTCATTTTTGAATAGCTGCTTCTTCATGTTGACCCTTCAAATGATTCGTGCTCCTATGAGGAGTATCACACTCCAATTGTGTTCGTCTCCCTAGTAATGCTACAATACAGATTGTGTGGATTGAACTGATTCGTGAGTAGTAAAATTGACAATAGGAAAGAGTAGTAAGTCATCTTCGCCAACAAAGAGCAAGAGAGATTCCACTCTGCTTCTCTCCACACACTCAACTTTGTATCCTCTTCCACAAATAGTAGAATGCATTCTAATATACAACACGGACCAATTCACATAAGCCAGTCACGAAATAAAATAACGCTAGCGTTAAATCAGATTGTAGCCAGATGAAGGGAACGGTACTCACTGCCCATCGTTCAACCTTGGAGTGCTTTACTCGAAAAACAAGAGAGATTCCACTCTGCTTCTCTCACACACATGTAACTTTGTATCCTCTTCCACAAATAGTAGAATGCATCCTAATATTCAACGCGGATCAATTCACATAAGCCAGTCACGAAACAAAATAACGCTAGCGTTAAATCAGATTGAAGCCAGATGAAGGGAACGGTACTCACTGCCCATCGTTCAACCTTGGAGTGCTTTACTCGAAAAACAAGCACTATGTCAGCTTACGATCTCTTAGTTAGGAAGGGAATTGACGACTTGGGGGGTTGTTTCGGTGTCAATTTAAATTCATGTGGTATTAAGTACTTGGGAGATCTCACACAGCGCACCCTCAACAGTTGCTTATTCCTTCCATATTGTTTGTAGGCCAACTAGGAGAGGTGGTTGAAAATGCCGGTCTGTATTGGCGCTGACGTCAAGTTTCAACTATGAAGAAATATTTTAATCAGCCGAAGTGATTCAAACATTAACATTTAGATACTTCCGGAAATTGTCCAAAGTGATATGAGCATTTCGTTATTCCTTAGTCTAATGAAATGTTTAATCCATATCAAAACACTGTCTGAAGCTGGACTAGATGTTACCTCTTGATCAGCCTGTTGAAGAGGATATATGGAAGGCAGGTGGTGCCATCAACTCTGCAATCCTTCCAATTGCACATACAACTTCGATTCTATCGAAAGGACTAGTTCAATGCGTGCACAGTAGTGTTGCGATCATGCTTCTTAAGAAACCCAACAAGGTATCTTGGCTGCACTTGAAGGAAACTCACCAGCTTCACCCCACGCGTATTGGATTATCGATTATTCAATTTCGACACTCACAACTCGACACATGAGAGAATCATTGATGAATGCATTGGAACTCATATTGGCTAACCAGAAAGACTACCAGGCAATAGGTACTCACTGTCCAACTTTGAACTATGAAATCCATACTGATTTACATTTAATACATTTTGGTGGATTTGATCTAACCTTCAGACACAATCGCCCTCTCCTCCCCTCCCCACAACCACCACAGCTTTGATAAACAAGCTCAAATTGGTTGGCAGTCGTTGAAAGATCGTTGTCAGGTGTGTGAAGGAAAGCATTAAGCCATTTGGAGAATGCCAAGATTTCCACTTTTCCTTTCGATTCATCATTAATTTACTACTGTGTTTACTGTTATGACATTTCATTCCACATTGAGTTCGAATTGGCTCCAGGATTCTACGACTTCCAATATGACTACCTTAAATTGAATCAATCGATTGGATATATCATTTTAGTTCCCTTGATCATGGGATCGTGCCAGGTTATGTGGGAGCTCTATCGATCATCTCGGGCAACACAGAAGTATTGTCCCTCTCTCTGTTACAACCAACTTGATGTTAGCAGACAACATTCATTTATTCCTATAAGCCTTTTCCATTCATATGGTTGACGGTAATCTACATTCTGATTTATGTATTAAAATAAACCTACTGGTTAATAGCCTTCGACGATAATTTAATTACTCCACAATGTGTACTGATCAGACAAACTCAAAGTCAGTTGGGTTATTTTTTATCCAAACAACTAGTTCCATCAAATAACAGTTGAGCCCCCAAACTAACCTCTATGGTACAGGATATTTCAGCACCTTCCATAAACGGAAAGGCAAAAACATTTTTATCTCATAGAGTTCCAAATTTATTTCCAACAAAGCAACGATTCAATATTAGAAATTTGATTCACTATCATCAGGGTTGTCTAACTGAAACATCTGTTTCAGGTAGATGACTTGTTGCTATGCCAACACTGTCAAAAAACAAAAATGTCGGAATTTTAAGACACTTATTTCGGCATATTACGCCTGTTTGCGAAATATAATGCCAAGGCATTTTCTGCTCTGGGTTTCAAACTCCCGACAAAGAAACACCAATAGTATCCACCTCGTATTAAACGAAGATGAATGTCAAGAGGATTAAAGGCTCCTCGTGTACTATATGCAATTTTCTCAAAATCTCTGGAATCACAACTAAACTTTGAAAATGTCGGTGCTAGTTTCTCCAGAGCCAATCGCATTTTCCTTCCTCTAACGTGAATTCTATTAAAGCAAATATTAGCTTGG